TTTTTTTTAATAGATTAGTCAAGGCAAAACCAAAAATGTTATTCGAAAAATTTTATCCAAAAATTTTATTTGAAAATTTTATTCGAAAAATGTTATCTTAAATTTTAAATGAAAATTTTATAATAAATAGTGACACGTGACAACCGAAAATATAATCTAAAAAGCTTATCAAAATTAATAGTTTAAAGTATAAACAAATAGGAAATAAAGTACAATGAATAGTAATTGCCTTAGACTTGCCCTAGACTTTGCCCTCATGGGTGGAACCACAAATGCAAAGGCTGACACTATTCACGTGAATAGTAGCAGCCCTTACTTGCCCTTGCCTTAGACTTAGCCCTTGTGGGTGGAGATGCTCTAATGTGTTGATTCTTTGAAATTGTACAAGGAGTGATTGTAATGTGTTGATTCTTGGGAATTGTATCATGGTGTTATTAAATGTTAGCATTTTCGATTTAATTGGAAATAAATCAGTGATTGTAATGTGTTGATTCTTGAGAATTAGACAATTCGCAATGTGTTGATAAAGCTGATTTTCGATAAATCTCTTCCCTAAACACAGTTCAATTGGTACTTTATATTTGGTGAGTGATGCATAGAGTATCCACATAATGGGTTCGGATTATCGAGTGATGCATGATTCAATGGAGGTTGAAAGGCTTAACAAAACATAATGAACAAAAATGACCATTTAAGTAAAGATGTTAAAATTAATAATTATTGGACAGCAATAAGCTACTCAAACAACCAAAACCAACCTACATCCCCTAATTTTCTTGTTACACATCGACTTACAAACACTATTGACTCCCCGATGAAGAATGAACAGCCCAAAAATTACTCGAAACGACTTGAATTCCAGATGAAACACATGGGAAGAGCATGTTAATTACTATTTTCCATCTTTTTGTCTCCAATTTATGTGTGGACAAGTATCCGGCCTTAGTCTATGTTGATTCTAACAACCCTTTTGGTTCTCCCATCAGAGGTAGCTCTGGTTGCATTGTCTGATCCATTTCCTCTGACGCTTTGCGCTTGCCCTGCAGATGGAAGCAGCCCAGCTCCCCAAATTGCATTTCCCTTCTGTTGTCTGCTACCTGAACCTACATTGTCATGCCATTCATAACTAAGTTATGACACGAAGTGTGAATCAAAAGGGAGTGACCGGATTCTGAACCGTGACATTGCCTACGATATCTCATATACAAACTAACAGGTGACATTAAAGAAGTTTCGTCCAGTGCCTGCAAAGAGAGAGGAGGCAAGGGGAAAGGAACCGAAGAACAAACACACTAACATTACTAGTACAGACTCACAGGTTTGATGGATATTTGTCTTTCCCAAGTCATAAATCTGGCAATGTGCAACATTCCACATTTGTCACTAAGCACAACATAAGCATTACCACTGTTCTATCAAACATAACCATTTAAATGGCAAGCCATTGGAACTCCTTATCCCAGTCCACTAAAGATCGAATCCCCAACTTTCACTCGTTATTGCAACACATAATTTTCTTATCCTGTTTTACACTCCTCTGTAATATTTTTGGCCATTAGGGAACTCGCTTAATATCAAGGTGTGTCAAGATATTAAAGATCAGGATACACAGACACATTTACTCAAGATTTCGCTCTGAAAAGCTAACTAGGACCTTAAGGAAGGCTTGGTGAATGCATACGACCTTCGATGTTGTGAAACCATCTAATCGTAAAATAAATAAAATAAAATGAAGAAACAAACATAAAGGAAAATGAAAGAAAGTCCAACAGGAAAGAACCAAGTAGTGCTTACCAGCATTACCATGCATATTAAATTCACCTCTCCAACCAGGTAAGTGTCCTTTAACATTACCGGTCCATGCTTCTTCAAAGCCAGGAAGCTCATCTGCAAAAAGACTAGCAGTATCAGTTTTGATGTTCACAAATGTGAAAAATAATACGTATTAACGAACCACGTACGGCTGCAGGAACCAACCTTCATTCAAATTGTGTAAAGTTTGCAACATATCCACCTTTCCATCTGACTTTAGCTTCCTTGTAACAGAATGACCCTACATAAGCAATACATATATCAATTCCAATAAAAGGTGGCATATACATAATTAGATTTTCTTTCTGCCATCCTTCCCTATGCTTACTGGCATATACATAATTAGATTTTCTTTCTGCTATCCTTCCCTATGCTTACTCAGAAAAGGGATTGAATTAAAAAAAGCCACAAACTGATCTATTCAATACTGACAAAATCACATGGGGAAACGGATTGATAAAAACACCAAAAATCTGTAATGGTAACAAAACAACATGGACTCTCAACTGAATGACTATATGAGGAAACAATAACTTACAATCCAGTCCCATCAAACTTGAACAAGGATAGTAAAATGGTTAACAAATATTTAAGATGAAAATCTACATGTATTTAATCTCTCAAGAAATATATTGAGCACAACCATGAAATGGAAGGGAGACTAAAGGGCAACGCACTGCATACACTCACTCCAGACTTGACCGTAAGAATACAACAAAGAGTGACTCTGAGTTTTTGCCACAGATGGTCACCCCGTGCATCAATGTTTAATCTCTTTTCCAAAACATGACTAATGCCTAAAACTACAATTCATTGTTGCAGGTGTTACAGCCATTGTTTTTTATACAGGCTGCATAACAACAAGAAAATACTATACCTTATCATGAAGTCCTCTCGAGATTCTGTGTGTTGCTTGACCAGTTGTTCTATCTGCTTCTTTGCTCTCCTCAAGCACCACCTGTTGTTCAATCACAATCAAAGTTAAACAAAGAAGAATGCAAATGACATATCAAATCCAAGAAACACATTACTTACACCATCACCGCCTGCCCTTCTGGTTCTTGTAGAAGTGTAATATGCTCCATCTACACCACCATATGTGACTCTGCAAGTCTGGGCAGAGAAACTACGACCCTGGGACTGTTCACCTTCCACCTTGTTGCGGTCATTTCTACAAGTCACATCCTTGCTTTTCCTATCTGCTAGATTCAACATGGCAACCATTATTTTCATTTCGGAAACTTCAATTATATTAACCTTCAACTTTCTAATTAAGGCGGGCATAGAAGATTAATTACCATCCACAACATCATCCGGATGCTCAATAGTTGGTTCTTTGCTTGAAACATATTGCTTTCCACAATTATCTCTCCCATCCTCAGTAACTTTATCTTCCCCTTCCTCATCCTCAGAATTCAGTTCTTCTACTAATAATTCATTGGCTCTACCGCCCTGCGGTGTACCACTAGAAGCGGCTCTAGGACCAAAAATGCTAGATTCGAACATGCTACCAAGCGGGCGACTGAAGAAGGGATCGTCAAATGGATCCCTTCCACCAAAGAGGCTAGGAAACATACTTCTACGGGACCCAAAGCCCTGAAAACTATCTAACAAGTCACGTGACCGAGAAACCCCATCTCTAATGTCTCTTTCACTCTGCATATTGGTTGTGTTTATCCTTCTGGAAACAGAAAATCCCAGCATAACTTATTCTCTATGTCTATTATCAACCAAAATAAAATTTTAAAAAAATTAAAAACGACTTAATTAAGAAAATATGTTCCACTAAAAGATAAATTCTTTAGAATGAAGAAAATAAAATTCATCAAAGATGAATTGTCCAATCCTAGAAACCATGAGCTCCTCAAAAAAATCTCCTTAAGTGGTTCAGATAATTCAAAAACATAAACTTAAATCTAGCAGATATAGTATCTCACTTGATCACATAAATACTAATTAATTATTATCAAACTCCGCATTTACTATGATATTAACATCTAGTGAACAATCATCGAAGTCATTAATGAAAATTGAATGTAGCAAATTATTTCCGAGGACTATTGCTTTATAATATATTTCAATTTAAGTTGAACGCTCGTGAAATTCAAATAGAAATTAATAAATTTCGCAGCAAACGAGCTCAACAGGTTATGGATAGCGGATTCTATAGAGAGAATTAATCAAACAGAGGAATTAGAAATTCCTTAAGGCCTGTTTGGAAGCCGAGAAAATGAGAGAAAAACAAAAGAACAAATCTAGGTGATTTTGGTTCGTCGTACCAGATAGAAGGAAATGAGACGAACGTCTGAGAGAGAGTGAAAGAGAAAAATCCAGAGAGAAAAATCCAGAATGTCCCAAGTGCTTCTTTTGGTTTGGTTGGCTGGCCTTTTATACTTGTACGTTTCAGAAAGAGCGCGCGCCACGGCTTGACACGTGTCCACCTCCATTGGTCCACGACATTCTGGATGCAACCATGAGTCCATGACTACATGGCTTGGACAGGTATCACATTCTAGCAAAGAAGAGGTTTGAAAATTCAAATGTCTCGAATTACCATTCCTCCACAATGCTTTGTTTTGTAAGGAGGAGAGAAGTGTCCGACCAAAAAGGATAAAAAGAAAACTCTTGGGTCCCATTTTTCCTTTTTCCGACCGAAGAAAAGAACCCAAAGTTTACGTTTTTTCTTTTCTAAGTTCTTAATTCTTGTTTTACTGTCACAAGATCAAAATACAAAAAACTAGAAGGGGAAAAAAAAGGCTCCATTCTCCTCTTCCCTTCTCTTGCTGATTTTTTTTTTTTTTTTGTGCTGAAGTGGCAAATTTCATTAGAATCAACTGGAAGGTGAAATTCGAATTTGAGACATCTCGTAACATAGAAAAGAGAAAAATCATTAGACTAAAAGCTAGTTGGCAAAGTGACCGACACCTTGAGTTGGCCGATCGCACTTAATTTAGAGTGTACAACAATTCATGTAGGATAGAAGTCATTCCAGTAGAGAAATAAAGAAAATTAGCTGAGCATTTTTTGTGTGAAATAAAATGTTAAAACAAATAACGTAGTTGCAAATTTGAAGGCCTTACCCTATTAAAAAAATGTATTGGCGAAGTAGGACAATAACAAAACAGTTCCATGTGACAGAAGGAGAAGCATAAAATTCAATGTGAAATTAGATTATTTCTTGGATACATAGCATACATTACACTTGACTGGCAAGGCCATGAGATTGATCCTGTAATTTCAATGAATGGTACAACAAGCCTAAAGGAACAACATCATCATTTCATGCCACCACATGAAAGTTTCATTTTCCATATGTTACACTTCCCAAATTTCCTAACACATATTTAACAAAAATAAACACCAATCAATCATGCCAGTCCCACTACCGTAAAACACTGCAACCCATAAACCGCCCTTCTGGATCTGCATCTCAATCATCGTGTTTACAAGAAGATGCCCATAGGAATGAAAAATTGTGAGACTGAATTAGTCGCTTGTGATTTGATGAGAGTTACGACTGCAAAGGGAACTTTTTGTGGACGTTCCACATCTATTGTTACAAGGAAAATTTCTGTATCACTGACAAGTCAAAACAAATGGCATCAGAACTCTTGGGAGTTAAACTCAGGCCTCGACGGATACTCAAGACCCTGCAGCGCTGGTATGCGTCGCAAATCTTCTTCAGAATAAGCAGGGATGAACCAGTATCGTTTATCCATACCAAAAACCTGATATGCAAATAGCAGAATTCCAGCTGTAAGAGTAATGCTAAAAGATCTAACACCTTAAACACAGGTGAACAGACGCACATCCAGGCCCATCATAAGTATATTACCCACATCATTTTAAGATTTAAAGACAAGACATGCAATAAAATTATGAAAAACAAGGTCATGTATATTCAAAGCTTAAACACTTTCAAATTTAACTTGTTCCAGTGTACAGTGTCAAACAAACTGCATTACAGATTCGAGATCCATGTTTCCAGAAACCCAATAAACTGGAATAGATCACTTACAGTTATGCATTGTTCATGGTATACAAGGTCTGGTATTGAACAAATGTAGGGTATTGAATAAACTTAATACCAGATTCTGATGATCATGTGCATTTTGTTTCAAATATTGTATAGACAAGGTTCTTGTCTGAACATCAAGATCAGGTCAAGCCTCCGAATCAGAAATATCAATGCAAGGGGTCCAATTTCTATACACCACATATGAAAGTTACTACTATTACAACTATCATTACACAGATTAACAAGAATTTCAGGTCAAACAGTATTGTCTAGGAAAAATGTTCCTGCAGGCATTCAAATCTGGGAAAATAGAAATTAGTCTTGCTTGCCCATTATTGGACCTCAACCTACCATAATGTACTACATAATAATTGTTTGCAAAGGACCTTGATGACCTTTGTTTTAATTGGAAGAAAGAGAGTAAATTAATCAAAGAACAATTTAACTTTGTAGTGCGTATGCCATGTGACTATCAGTGCCACGCTCATGATATATCACATACCAAGAAAACCATCATTATAATGTTCTTCTAAGAGTATAGATAATCTGAAAACTAAGGGCAACCTAATGAATTTATGCATGTAGCTGTCTGCTGCAGAAAAGATCCTTGTGCTTCAAGGCTTCCAGCAAATGCCAAATTACATTCAGGACTTACTGATCCCTATATTATTATCAAACATCAAAACTTTTATTCCTCCTGATGTAGACGCTAATTTTGGAATTGTGAAACCCAATTAGAACTTACTCTTGAAATGCAGAATTTTGATTAAAATTAAAAGATGCACTGAATAAAGTAAATGAAATACATTGATACATTGGAAATTGAACCAACCTGTTCAAAATTCTTTTTTCGACCAAGGTCATAGCGCCATTTAGGAGAGGTTTTCTTCTCATATGCCTGATCACAAAGAATAACCCCATCAGCATCTAATTCCACACTGAGACTCCTTTGCCCATAGGGAAGGGCAAGATACTGCAAGACTAATGGAATTACTTATATGTTGGTATGACAAACCCTAATCCGTGATTACTAATATAGTGCAACCACGATTTTCCACATCGCTAGTTGCCCAAACATTGAAAACTAAAGTTAAATATTTAGAAGTCGATGCATGTCAATCTAGGGACCTCCAGTAAAATGTGATATTGCAATCCAAGGAAAGCCATATAACAGAGGCCTCTCAAGGAGACTGAACTACCATACCAAATATCTAATCTTTGCTATATGAGCCTCACCCTTTTGACACCTTTAAGATGTAAGCATAAGGCAATGCCCAGTTAAAAGGAAGAATGCAAAAACCAGAGATATTGTTAATGGATTGAAGCAAAAGACTTTACCTCAATGGTTGTCGTATTTGCAGCCACTAACGATATATGCATGATCAGAAACCCCAAAACGCTTAATGCAAACGCAAGATTTAACACTGTAAATAAAGCAGCAATGTTAATTAGTTAGACAGATATCCAACCACCTCAGTAAGTAGGAATATAGGTAAAATTAGATAATACCAAAAGCAAGAAAGGTAGTTGCAAGGGTGCTAGGTGTTCCAGGTATTTCTCCTTCACTAAAGAATGAAATAAAATGTGGCAGCAAGGATAAAGTTACAACACTTGTCTCCAGAAATGTGTAAAACTGCATTGAGATTTAACAAAAGAATGAAATCAGTATAAATATACAAAGTTCATTTGATATGTATTCATGACTTAAAAGACCATAATATCCAAGAATAGAAAATTTTACAAGATAATACAAATCAAGTAGAGCATACACAAGAACTTCTCCATCATAGTCTGACAGGACAGTACAATACAATTCATCTCCAATTGATTAACTATGTAGCCACAAACACTATTAAAAGCAGATTTTCCAAATTATACGTGGAACTCCACGTTAGTATCAGTATATAACAAGCAACCACTGCCAGTACAAACTAGACTGAGGAAAAATAACTCATTGAAACAAAGAGTGACTGTATTCTTTAACAGCACCATAAGAGTCCCTTGAATTACCTTAAAACTCATGATTTCTATCAACCTAAAGCTTTTCACCAAGGGTACTGCACCTAGCTTACAGATATTTAACAGCAATCAACTCCCCTGAATATCCAGCACTAAGCATACTATAATGCTCGACACATACTGTAATGTTCCTGCTTTACTAAATTACATATTTACAGTATATCAAGTATTTATCATTGCCATGCATCAAATCGTAAGCTGAAATTTTGAGATTTTTAAATAATATAATTGCCATACTGACATAGCATAAGATAGTAAAGTAGAAGAATTATAGTGTTTGTGTGAGAGGTAACCAAGTTCATAATGAAATGTGAATTGAGTTGCAAGTCCCAGCCAATACCAACAAAAAATTATGTTCTCCACCTCTTCAAATTTGCAACTATCAGCTTAGAACATGCAGTCCAGGACCATTTTACTAATGCCAGTCCAAAACTCATTACAAAAGCTTTGTTTTTTTTTTTTTTTTTGAACTGGGGGGGGAAAACCCCAAGGAAACACAGCAACTACTTACTACAGACTAGCCGAGTCCTAGTGACTCCAAGCAGATCATCAACAAGGCTTTGTTTTTGCTTTATATATAATCCACTAATCACATTATATACAGTCCATGAGCCTAATTGATGAAACAATCTCTGCAACGTTATACTCCTTGAAATCCAGCAATTATTCCAAAGTTAAATTATGGAGTTCCATTTGAAGAATATGATCTAGAAGGTGAGATGACCTATTGTTCAGTTATCTACCAGAAGGAAAAACATCAATTTACCCTATGAGAAGTATGGAACAATTCTGTTAAAGTGATACTACCACCATGGAAAAATAAACTGAGTGCTACATTCAGGAGACCCTGAGTGGTCACGCTATGTGACAAAGATATACAGGCGAAGTCAATCTAGATCATTGTCTGTGGCCTGTGTCTGCGGCCTATTGGCATTCCAGGGAATGTACACCAGACTTGAGCTTAAAAATTGTTAAAAAAGGATGGAAATGTAACATATTTAAGCTTTTTCTTTGGGAACAATGAAAACTTGCCCAATACCTAACTTCTAATCAAGATACCTTCCTTTCAAATGCTCACGACCTATATGCAGGTATCTTTACAGTACCTGCATGATTATTACTACTCGTAATCATGTAAGGTGTCATATAATCTGAGAGACTAAAGTTAAAATCAACTCAAACAGTCCTTGGAAGAATGCCTTCAAATCATCAAATCAGTATTCACAGGCCAGGTATGAAGAAAACAAGTTAAGCATAGTAGAAGAAAATGAAAATGGAATCCTCAGTAGATAGAACCGTGTCAATTCATTCATACATAATCTCCTGTGAAAAGTATTTCACCTTACGCAGTGAAACAAACTTACCAAGAAAAGTAGAAAATATTTGTAATTTAAGGCCCCAACACAATTTACAACCCATACACAATGGTGATCCATTTTCAGTACACAACGCCCACCTGAAAGTTGAAACAAAGAATCATCCAACATCAAGCTCTGATTTATAGACATAAGAACACAACAAAGCAAAACAAAACCAAATATTGCTAAAAGAGATTATGAAAAACTTCACATATTGTGACTCACAAACTGAGCAATGATGGCAACGAGGTGGTTTCAGCTGGTTGCACTTCCGGCAATACCGGATTCTTTGATTAGATGGGTCAGTCTGCAAACCACTAAAATCCGACCCAGTCAAGGGGTCAGCCTCCCCTCTCTCTTCATCAACAGCAGGCCTCCAGTTAGGTGGCACGCAACCGGGATCCGTCAAAACAACAGAAAAGTAGCTCCATAAGAGCATCACCAACTGCACAATTATAACAAGTCTTCCACTTTTAGCTTTATTTTCTCTAATACCCTTAATCAGACACCAAATTTTGATTCCTTTAAGCTAACAATAAACTAACAAATTATCCTATTTACGACACCAAACACTATTTCTGTCTGAACTAACAGGATCAAAAGGGGGATAGAAACAAGCAGTTAGCTCTAAGAAAATGATTAAAAACAACAAAAATAAAATTCTAATAATAAGATTTCTAGAAACCACTGCCAAAAGAGACTCCAAGTAATTTCAAACTTCATGGAATAAGTTCAACCTCCACCAACATAAAAAAAAGGACCTGACTGAAGAAATTATTGAAAAAACAAAGTTCGCAGATTTTTGTAACACACTTCAAGAGGAAAAATGCCAATTTATACAACCGAAAGACACAGATTCTAAAACCCAAAAACTCTAAACAGAAAACCCATCAACACCACAAGAAAAATGTTAAGAAAAAACTCAAAAATTTAATAGTTTTCGATGGTTTACCAAGCAATGGAACAAGATCAAGACGACAAGAGCAATGAGAGAGTCAAGGCCACCGTTGTACAAAGCCGGGCCATAATTAGTCAAAACGACAGTGTAATAGGTGACACCTACGACCCCAAGCACCAGGAGGATCATGACTGACCCCAAACCTCGCAAAGCTGTGCAGAACTTGAACACGTTCCAAGCCATGGTCACACCAGATCTATGCATAATATTTCTCAAATACACAAAAAAACCATAAAGAAAAATCTTTTTTTTTTTCTTTCTCTGTTTGATTTCTCAGAGCTGAGTGTGATCTAGGATTTATGATTCAGCTGGGTAGTTTGGAGGTTCAAGCTCACAGATATGTAAAGCAGAGTGGGAAACAGTAATTTGAAAAACAGAGAAAATATTTTCCCTATTTTTGTTTGCGCTGTTTGCAGCTGTTTTATATGTTTTGGAAGCGAAATTTATGGAAAGGAAGGGTTAAAAAGGGATTCCAGGTGAGGTGTGAAATTGGAATCCATGTTGTTAGAGAGAAGATGAGTGTTTTTTTTCCTCTCCTGTGTTTGTTTTATTTTTTATTTTCATTTGGGTGAGACGAGATGAGTTTTGACGAAACCAACAAGAAAATAAGACCTTTTGTCATAATTTTCTTTTATTCTTTAACTATGGGATGGGTTGGATTTTATGATTTTTTTTTGGCATAGTTTTAAAAGTTAGGACAAGTTTTTGTAATTTAAAAGTTCGGCTAAGTCGGCTAACAGTTCGTAACCCATAGCATAATAGTTGTGTGTATAAGAAATCTCATTTCTTTATAATTTGGACTATCGTTTATGTTATAAAAATAAAATAAAAAAGTTTAAACTAAGTTGCAAGTTATTCTGGCAATAACTTTGTAGTTATTAAAGAAAAAAAACTAGTTTCGCATAAAATAAAAAATAAAAAACTAGTTTTGTATTTTGAGCAAGGTGCATTTGGTCATAGTCCATAACCATAAATCTAGAAGGTGCTGGTCATCATTCTAGACTAAGAGGATTTACTTTGGGAGTTGACCAGGATTTATTTCCAACTTTTGTAGTAGCACTAGCATACATGATTTTCTTGGATATTTCGTAACGATATTGCTTTCTAATTTCTACTATTATATCTAAGAAACATGGAATATGTTTGCCCAAGTAATCACGAAAAAAGAAGTTTAGAAGAAATGGAAATACTTCTTACAATGGAGGCTCAACAAAGCATATCATGCCTAACACGAATGTAATAATAATGGCCGCACCCGCAGTACAATTCATAAGCCAATCAATCTCACACGAAAAAGAAGCACAAATTGTGTTGAACAAGCAAATGAGTCACTTGATTGCACTCACGGGTCTGAAAATATTTGCAAAACTCAACCCACCCTTTGACATCTTCTACAATAATATCAATCTTGCCCACCATATTTCTTTGGAACTTTTTTTTCCTTCTTTTTTTGGGGTCGAAAGAAGAACTTCGTTCCAAGAGCTCACCCAAACCGGAGAGGGCACAGTGCTATCCCTTTGAGATCAATGAGGTATCGCACTTGTCCATGCCCATGTATATATCTTGAGTTTTGTTTTCTGAAAAAACGGATAGTTGATATACAAGAAAGTTGTTTATTTTCCGGAGAGGAAATATATATGTATTTTGTATTTAAGTCAATGGAGACTCAACATAAGATCTTTTGTGTAGAGATAAACACTCTTAACTACTTATATAGTGTCCTTGTGGGCCGGCAGGAGCGTTATATAACTTACATCTATTTTTAATATCATTTTGGGATGTAATTGTCATTCTTTTATGTTAGTGTTTTTATAGGTTGTCTTCAAATAAAGATAAACCAGTAGAGTTCAGTTGAGAAGGTCAGGTCAATACATGTATGACCCAATCCATCAATCAAGCCAGGATAATCTGATTCAGCATTCAGCCATCTTGCAAGGAAATTCTAGATCAGACCAGCTTCTCTGTGTCTTGGAGACTTGGACCAAGTTGAACCCTTTTGGGGGTAAGAATGTCATGCATCTCTCATATTAATATTATACATTTTCACCTTTTAAATGCAATAGAAACAAACAACTTACTTGAAGTCCTCACCGATGGCAAGGATTTAGTCTTGACTTCTCCTTCTCTTGAATTTTTATTTTTATTTATTAATTAAAAAAACATTGAAGCAACCTAAGAAGCTTGTTCGTTCAAGCTTCCGACTGTGGCAATTATATATCCTCTATCCTTGAATTAATGCCCTTGGTGACATTGGGAAATTGGAGTGCATGGAAGGCTAAAATCTTTATTGTCCAAAAAAATACTATACATTCTTGGTGTATTAATATTCTTCTTTTTTTTTCCTAACACCTTCGGTTTACCTTCTCTCTCCTCATTTCCTCTTCAATATTATTTAATTGATCGAAATCGTTCAGTTTCGAGGTCATCTTATAAGGATTATTAATGTATTAAAAAAGCATCCAAATAAAAATTATTTAGCCATTTCATTAACAATCCATGCTGAATCAAAATATTGAATTCATTTATTTATTTGATAACAGAGATGATCTTTAAAGGATCGCCTAAAAGATATACAGTTGTGATCATCAAACCACATTACAGAATAGAGATAGAAAAGGGCAAAAAAAAGAAGAAGCTATCATTTCCCTTTTTTTTCCCACAATAAATCATAGTTATTATTTTTTCTGTCTCGCAGCTATGCATCAAAGCCCATGGCCCATTAAAAGCCCACATATGCTCCAACAAGTCCAAACAAAGAACCGAGCCCATTGGCCGCCCCAACAGTGAGTTAGATACCCCAAGTTTTGAATCGGCTTTGGTGAGGTCACAGATGCCGAGCAATCTTCTGTCCACTACTGTGCCTTTGTCTTCTATTCTAGACAACTTTGTGCAAAGAATAATTCATATAAAAATTTTGTATCATTTTCATAAGCAAATATGATATGTTACTCTGCATTGTTTTCATCTTGGCCCCAGATGCATATTTAAAAGCTGCCTCACCCTCAAGTAAGGCACACTTTGTGTCATTGTGTTTGCAGGAGAGAAAAATGGAGAAGGGTCCGGTTTGTGTAACAGGTGGAACTGGATTTGTTGCCTCATGGCTTGTTATGAGGCTTCTGCAACATGGCTACACTGTTCGAACTACGGTTAGGCCTGAGCCAGGTAAAATATTACCAATCCCAGAAACATGTGACCCACAGTATACGAGTTTCTTATTTGTTTGAAATAACCGAGGTTCTAAATAAAACCATAAATATAAGCTGTTTCGTTCATTTAGGTTGTAATAGAGAGAGAGAAAATGAGTTCATTAGGATTTACAATAGGTCATGGTTGGAATTCATCCAATGTACATTAACATGCATTTGATGTTTGATATTGGGCGTAGAATGCAAGAGAGACCTCAGCTTCCTCACAAGCCTGCCAAGAGCATCAGAGAATCTCCAAATCTTCAATGCAGACCTCAAGCAACCAGACAGCTTCAATGAAGCAATTGAAGGATGCATAGGGGTCTTCCATGTTGCTCACCCCATGCCTACCAAAGAGCTTGATGAAGAAGCAGTGACCAAAAAAGCTGTCCAAGGAGCCCTAGGCATATTGAAAGCCTGCCTAAATTCCAAGACTGTGAAGAGGGTTGTGTACACTTCTAGTGCATCAACTGTGGCTTACAGTGGCAGCAGCCAAGACTTGGTGGATGAGAGCTCATGGAGTGATATTGAATTTCATAGGTCTCTTAAAATATTTGGGACTTCATATGTTGCTGCCAAGACCAAAACAGAGCAAGCTATCCTGGAATTTGCCAAAAAAAGTGGATTGGAAGTTGTCACTTTGATCCCTCCATTAGTTGTTGGTGGATATATCTGCAAAAATTTCCCTAGCTCAGTTTACTTGGCCCTGGCCATGATTTTAGGTATGTATTGAGTGCACTTCCCTTTTTTTTAAAAAAAAAAAATTTAATTTTATATTATTTAAATTCAAGCTAGTTTTCTGAAATCAATTTCCAAAAATGCATTAGGCCATCTAACCAAGCTTGAAAAATTATGCAAAATGACACATCCCTTTTTTTCCCCAAAAAATCAAAATGTGCTGTTGATTTGGCCTAGGAAAACAAAAAGGATCATTGCATTTCCCAATTTCAAAAAAATTTGTGACCTGAACCAAATCTACATATTTCTTGTATGCAGGAAATCAAGATCACTATAGATATCTTATCAGGCCAAGTTTGGTACATGTAGATGATTTGGTTAGTGCCCATATCTTTCTTTTTGAAAATTCTGATGCAAAAGGGAGGTACATTTGTTCATCAAATCAGTTACCCATAGATGAAATGTCCCAATTTCTGTCTGCAAAATACCCTGATTTGCCCATACCCACAACTGAGTGAGTAATTCCAATTCCATTCTAATACAACTCCTTAATTCTTCTGTCATTTTAATCTCAGATTATAAAAAAATTTAACTATCTGTTTTTGACCTCCCCTTGACCTACACAGTTTCTTGAAGGGCATTGAAGGTTACAAATCGTGTGGCTTCTCATCACAAAAGCTCCTGAGTTCTGGATTCAAGTTTAAGCATGGACTCGATGACATGTTTGGTGATGCAATTCAATCTTGCAGAGAAAAGGGTTTTCTTTAAATCAAATTCGCTAATTAGCATGACCCTTTGATTAGGGTTAAGATCATCTCCCTTTGAAAATCTAATAAAAGTTTAAAATATCAATGTGTGGTGAACAAATTGACCATTATGTGAATTTTTTGGACATCTTCAAAAGTTTTCAAGATTGATGTACTTGCGCCTAAATGCACATGTAATATGGTCTACATGATTGGATAAAAAAATTTATGGCAAGCTTGTGGAGTGTGCATATGTTTAAAAAAGAGAAAACTGTCATTATACCATTAAAGAAAAACGTGTGCAACCAATGTACGCAATATCTTTTTTGTGACACATTAGTTGAGAGATTCTTTCCTTAACACATTAATTGAAGAGCCTATTATAGTTTTGAGTATTTTAAAAAGTTGGTATAGAGAGTATGAAGTTCATACAAGCAAAGCATTGTGATACTCTACAAATAAAGGAAAAGGTTGGATTGGAAAAGAAATGACTACTAGTTGGTCATATCATATTTTTTTTTCTTCCACATTATTATATTTTTTTCAAATTTAATTACCTCATCTATATTATAAAAAAAAAATTATGATAATTCGTTGACATGAATCATAATTTTAATAATTAGTAAACGTAATTTAAGCTTGTGATCGGCTGGACATTATTAAACTAAACTAAATTAATAGTATATAAATTAATAATGAGTAGATGTCGAACCTTCGATGATGTGTAATATTAGTGTCTATACAGGTTATATTTATAAATTAATAGTTGCATTAATAAAAGCAGAAATGCCAAAAGATGAAATATTAATTTAATGTCGTTTATATCGTGGTTGATTTTGCAAATATAATAAAGAATTTAGTTATTTTAGGTCATGGCATTGTCATATACATGTCAAACTTCATTGCCTCCAAAAGAAACGTAAAGAATGTGCAGGCACTAGCTGTAATGACAAACTCACAAACTATTGACCCTTAATTATCGCAAGTTAATTAATTATCATTTATATTTATCATACTTATAATTTATATTTAAGCTCGCTCAATGAACCTTAATTAGCCAAATCAGGCTCAGAGAGAGAGAGAGAGAGAGAGAGAGAGAGAGAGAGATCTCAATGGAAGAGGTTGGAGGGGGAACAGTTTGTGTAACTGGTGGAACAGGGTATGTAGCTTCATGGCTGATTATGAGGCTTCTTCAGCATGGCTATTCTGTCCGAGCCACCGTTCGATCCAACCCTTCAGGTAATTCAGATCAAATGACCTACAATAATTGTGTTGATCAATGATGATGAAAACCATACCAAACAGTTGGAGATTGTATGAAATTTTTGTTTGATCATATGTCAGTTCAGTTTTCTAGTGTAGGTTAATCTGCAGAAGTTTCCGTTTCCTTATAATTTCTTTGTTATATGTTGTTCTTGTAATTGTTTGATGAGCGCACAAACAAGATATTGAACATATATATAGAGTAGCACTCAAGCACCAATAGTCAGTAAGTTAGTATGGCGCTAATCAATTTGCAAGGTCGACCTTTGAATGAGAAACTAAAAATATTACGGTCGGATTATAAAATTTACACTTTGAAGTAGACTAAAGTAAGTAGTTAGCACTATATTAACTTACTAACTGGTTAGCGTTTGAGCGTTGCTGAACATATATATAATTCCAAGGGTCTGTTCACACATTGTCGATTGATTTTGAGTTAGTGTTCTAATTCTCTCACAATATTAAAGAAGGTAGTCATGTGAACGTGAAAGAAGGTAGCCACGTGTCCATTTTCGGATTTTCTTGGGTGTGTAATTTTTCACTTATGGCCTTTTTGTCATATAATTTGATGAGCTGATCATATTTATATATGGCAGCTGAAAGCAAGAGAGATATCAGCTACTTGACAAACTTACCAGGAGCCTCAGACAGACTCCAAATTTTCCATGCAGATCTCAATCAACCAGAGACTTTCAACGAGGCCATTCAAGGCTGTGCTGGAGTCTTCCACGTTGCTCACCCCATTGACTTGGAAGGCAAAGAACCTGAGGAAACAGTGACCAACAGAGCTCTGGAAGGCACCCTAGGCATTTTAAAGGCATGCACAAACTCCAAGACAGTGAAACGCGTCGTTTACACTTCAAGTTTAGCCACAATATTGTTCAACAGCAAAGGCCTTAGTGAAACTGATGAAAGTACATGGAGTGAGCTTGATCTTTGCAAAAGCAGCAACCTTGTGAGCTCTTCATACTTGGTTTCTAAAACAGTTGCGGAGAGGGCAGCTTTGGAGTTTGCAGAAAAGCATGGCTTGGATCTTGTCACTGTTATTCTTCCCATTGTATTTGGACCCTTCATTTGTCCAAATATTCCTGCTTCTGTGTACATGGGACTGGCTCCCATATTTGGTAACTTTTTCTTAATACTGCATAGTCCTGCATCTGTGTACACTAAATTATTTTTCGTGTCACGTTTCACCAAATTTTATTCACTAAATAACTAGTAGTATTTAATTGGTTAAGATAGGGATGCCCATTTTAAATTTTATTTATTTATTAATAATAAATAAAGTATTAACATGTACATTAGTATATACTTTCTATTATGAAATCCTCAATTCTTTAATTGGTTGTATTGTTAAGTAGTTATTTTTTGACATATGTAGGTGACGAGGACAAATGTAAATGTCTTACTAACACATATATGGTACACATAGATGATGTGGCAAGTGCACATATCCATCTTCTGGAACATTCTAATGCAAAAGGGAGGTACATTTGTTCCTCAGTTCAAACAACAATTCATGAAATATATGATTTTCTTCCTGCAAGATACCCCGACTTTCAAATACGAATCACAGAGTAAGATTATGGTTTCTCCTTTATGTTCTTATTAGAATGCTAGTATCAGTTGATGTGAGTTTCACTCTACATATGTTAAACTACTTGGTGGTTGTATTAATTGAGGTGTGTGGCTTAAGTATTTATGTGTGTATAAACAACTGACGCTAACAAATTTATTATCGTTGATGATGCCAAATATACCGAGGCGTATTCAGTCTTTCTTATTGTTTTCTTCTTTTTAATCTATACTTTTTCAGCAACTTAAAGGAGATTAAAAGTTACAAAAGATCAAAAGTCTCTTCAAGGAAACTGTTGAGCACTGGGTTCAATTTCGAATACGGCCTCGGTGAAATGTTTGATGGCGCTGTGCAATGCTGTAAAGAGAAGGGTTTCTTGTAAATCAGGCTTGGTTCAAGCAAATAATCATTGTAATCCTTACCATGCCAAGTGTGAATAACCAATTTTACTTTTTCCCCATCTTTTTTACTTTTTCTAATATTTTGGCCCGTGATTTATGTGGTGTGAATCATATGTTGTTATTGCACGTTTTCAATAAAAATAAAAATAAAAAAACCTTTGTTGTTAAACCTATTACTAATCATAATCCAAATCGAAATTTCCGTCTAAT